GCATTACAAACAGACTGATATGAGAAACGGCAAATATGGTAATTGGTGAAAATGTATATGCATGTGATTATTGTAATTAAGTTTAGATAGACGTCTCTGATTGACGTGTACAGGCACTCGTGTTTATCGCTCACCTACACGGCTATACCAGTTGCAAAATTAGCTCGCTGTGTTGAATCCCTTCACTTTTATGGAGGCAGACAATGACTAACCGCGTATTCATCCATGTGTATTATCCAAGTGGGTAGTCTAGTTGCACAAGCTTTACATGCAACATCTTGCGTTTTGATAAAAACAAAAGAACGACCTTCGTAAAGCACCATGGGTATATTATGTTTGTCAAAACTCGACTACATACATTTCGTTTCAGTATCTGTTCAAGTGGTTTTTCCCTTCAGTTGGCACTTATCTAATTCTACTCACTAATTACATTGGCAAAGGGCTGCTGAATAATAAACGTTGAGGCGCCAACGGCTCTTAATTATTCTGTAGAGATGCTGAATCATAACAAATCTAATTTTGTGCCGGTAGAAGGCAGAAGTGTGTCTACTACTACTCATATAAAATTTTAATGTCATGTCTTTTTTAATCTTTATTCAATGTAAAAAGATAATTTGTCAAACTTGTTTAATTGAATATTAATGGCTAAATTTTAATGACATTTTTGTTATCTACCATAGATTGCCCGAACAGGAGTACTATACTTATTTGTGTCAATAGGTTGATTGTAAAATCTATTTGCAGTGGGCGGGCAATCGTTCCGAGGCGCCGCCAATCGTTATTCAAGGTGATATTCAGCTGTTTTATGTCTTTTACACATACATTTTTCTTTTGATGGTTTGTATATCTATTGCGCGATTCTTTTTCACAATACAAATGTTTTTGAGAGCATATAAGTAGATAATGTATTGTTTTCGATACTACAAAAAGATCGGTGCGTAGCAACTGAGATCGACAAATTCAGAGAATTTTTAATGGAGTCAATCTTTATATTGTTTATATGTTTATTGTTTACATTTCACGTTAACCCAATCGGAAAAAAGAAAATAGAAAATCTAGCATGTAGGTAGTTGATTGATACGTACCTATAAGGCTGTAACAAGTCTTGGTTGATTGTTATTTATTTACGAGTAAAAGTTGTACACTACGGCAATGGTAAATGCACTGTAATTATTTATTTTCTAGAAAAACATCGCACGCAAGTAGACTGATACTACAGTAGATCGACTGATGGATCTCACTATTTTGTGACAGATAATAAAACTTTCGTCATTAATATAGATTCGTTTGTTCGATTGTTGCTGAAAGATAAATGCGAAATGCTACTAGTCCATGTTGATAATATAATAGGTAGGTAGCTATAGCGATCACCTTTACAAGGAGTCATTATTGATCATTCTAGGTATTCCCTTGGTGCTCATTACAGCGTAAATATTTTAGTGTTTGATGTTTGTACCAGTTTAAATTGTTGAAATTAGGTAATACCTAGCTATAGGAACATTGTTGCTTGTTCCACAAGATATCTGATACTTTTAAATTGAAGGTGACATACTTTTACGGCACTGCCCTTCAAACCTCGTATTTCCTGTTGCAAGCAACCACTACTTTGCAAAGTAATAATAAACTGATCTAATTGGTTCACGAAGCAAACTTAACATCCTACGTACCATGCTAGACTTGTCAGATTAATAGATGCTCCATATAAGAATAGATGACACAGTTTAGGTTTCTTCACAAGAAATATCTTTTATAAGAGCAAATTATAATTTAGTTACTTTTTACATTATTTTATTAGTATCGGAATCAGGATGATGATGTTGAATACAGTTCAGTTATCATTATGGATACACTTAACTTAGATTTTTTGGCAACAAATGCTAAGTTTTTTATCTTGTCTAACACAAAGAAACGAATATACATTATTTACATAGAATATATTAACAGGACAATATTTCTGTGACTGATGAGTGCTTTATGACTTTGCAATAATATGTTTGAATTGTTTGTTATTGTTGCTCTAGAGAGACGGATAGAGTAACTCATCTACATGTAATAGTTAAAATATATTCATTGATAATGTTGTATAAGTTCTATTACTATGATTTTTTTTGTAAGAGTAAGACAATAAATGGTAAATTATATATGATATATTATAGTAGTTTGGAAATAATGTATCACTAGGTTTATTATTTGATGGGTAATATAACACTTGAATCGAATTTAATCATAATTGTGTCTAACACTCTCTTTTGATGATGCTAACAGTATAACTGGTGTTATGTTTCTTTTATTTATTTGATAGCCTAACAGTATATCACCAGTTAACATATAAACCTTTTAACCACCAAACTTGAAAATGATTTTTTTGAATAAAAGACAATGTATTTAAATAGTATATCTTTACGCTGCCAGTTTTTAAATTAATTATTCTTCAGATGGTAGGACACCCATTCCAACTCCCAAATAGTCCAGTTACCAGATATGTAAAGAGTGACTATAATTAAAATTTATCAAATTTTTATCATAATATTATAGTTTTATATAGTAACTAGCTATATATAGGCAATTAATCATAGATTAGTTGACGAGCATTTTGACATGTAAACTGCTTGAGAATTAAAATATGGGAGCTTACATACTCAAATATTTATTTTTAGGCATTGTGCCAGACATGACCATTGTTATAGTTTATATTTGGCCTCCATCCATTTTGCTAACATTAATATTATGTACCTATACATATATATATATTTAAAACTACAGGACAAGTACTATTGGAATTTCTAAAAGTAGCCATATGGTTATAGTATCAGGTAAATTAAATAATAGTTTATCCTACATTTGTTAAGGTAAATTAAAAATATTTCATTAAAAATATATGTTTTGAGTTTAATAATATGTGTTTGTATTTTATACAAAATAGTTTACTATTTAATAGAGTGCAGTGTATTCAAGCTCTATGATTGATATGACAGTTTTCAGTTATTTTTTAACATGTTTTTATTAGAAAAGCTCATACTGAATCACATTTAAGTTAATTTTTATCTCAGTTATTGTTGCTATGGAAATACTTAAATATTATTTAAGATTTAATATTACTGACAATAATGCTTATAGGTTTCCAGAAAACACTTGGGCAAAAAACCAGCTTTGTGGCTCAATAAATCTTAACAAGAATAAGGATGAATTTCGCTAGTGTAGTGTATGTAATTATTAACAGTTTTCATTAATTAAAGAATTCAATAAATTGTAGTTGCAATAAACACCACTAAAGCATGACCTGTAACTGATACCGCGCTACAGGCGGATATCTTGATAGATATGATAACTTGCTGGCTATTCGTACATATAGATACTACTTACCTATCATAAAATGTAGACTATGTGGTGTCCTTCACAGCTGCCGCATTATATAAGATTTATAATGACTTCTATGCTCTGGACCTCTAAGTTCCCTTAAAAAACTACTCTCACAGGAAAACACTTAGCTGGAGATAAGCTTTCTAAAATATCTAAAACTTATCACTCACGTTTAAGGATGATACTTCGTTTAATGAAACAGAATTTACTTCAAAAGCTTATTGCAACTGAAAAACTAGAGAGGGCTTAGGGTTATAACACGGGAATTTACGAAGTACGATATTTTCTAGATTTAAAAAGGCTAGACTGGAATAAAAGAGACGTCAGGCAGCCAACCAACAGCCCTTTCTTCAATCGAGTTTTGAAATGATTTTACCGGAAAAGACAGCAGGACAGAACATAACAAAAGCTATATGCGAGAAAGAGTTAGACATAGTTCATGTTCAAAATAAACACAAGTCTGACAGTATGAAACGAAACGAAGTGACGTCAATCTGCCTTCCAGTCAACAAACTGACATTTTATTGATATATTTATAGCAGAAAAGCGCGCGTTGCTCGAATTATTCGCATTATATCCTATTATATCATAAATAATTAAATTAATTCAACTTAAAATTGCATCGGGTCATTACATGGTACACACTTATGGTACCTATGGTGAACATTTAGTTTATAGTAGTGTAACCCCGAAAAATAAAATAAAATAAAAAGAGATTATATTAATTTAGGCGGTAGCCCAAGTAGAAATTCAAAAAGAAGTTGGAGTGCAGGGGACTGTCTTCCTCACGCCCTTGTAGGAAACGCCCCTTTCGTTAAGGATCGCGTGATGATCTTCGGCCACCGTAAGCGTGAGTCTACGGCGACTACGGCGAGCGAGGCTAGCTCGCCGGCCGATTAGAACCCGACCCAAGCGTACGGCGCGTAGCGCTCTGCGTGCGTCTCAAAAAAGCCAAAAGACCCACCACTACATATGAGGCCAAACAGAGCTGATGTTCTGCCGGGGTAACGGCACAAGGCACAAGTAAGTAATAGTCTGACATTCCCTCTCGCCTCTACCTGGACGATGGAATCATTTGATGATTTTCACCTCGCAATAACTAATACATGGAATAGAATGATGATGATACCTAAAATGTAATAATTTATCTATTATTACGTAGTATAAAACGAAGCCGCTTTCTCTGTCTCTATATCCCTATGTATATTAAATCTAGGCAATTGATTTTAATGCAGTTTTAGATAGAAGAGGAAGTTTTATGTGTAATAACATCCATTAATTTGTGGAATTTAGTATCAGTATTGCAACCGTACGAAGCTGGGATGGGTCGCTACATATACAATAATACTATTAGCTTTACATTATGTACCTACCTACTTGTTAAAACAAGAGAACATGTCAGTCGATTGATGGTTGAGTAAATGTAGTTGTGCTGATTATGGTGAGAAATCATTATTCTCAAACACTAGACAGACGTGCACAAAATGAAAATTCTATTTATTATTGATTAAAATGATATTTCCATTTGGAGCAAAAGGCTCGGATGACAAGAAATAAACCTCAACAGTATGTCAGTGTCAAAATTGTCAAAGATCACTTATAACGTCAAAGTTTTAAGGTTAGGTTATTGTTGCTATTGTGCTTAATTTCATAATAATTATATAAATATTTCTATCAAGTTTTTTTAAAATAACCACGATCAGTATCTGAGCAAAATGGATACGGTAGTAAAAAATTTACTCGATGAGGAGCCTGAAGAGGAGAAAAAGGTGACCTGTTTCAATGAATTATTGTATCGAAATCTGGCAAAATAGTACAAAACGTTAATTTTATGTTATTATGGCTTTCCATATGAAAAATTTTACAATGTTTGCTGCATATTATGAGGTTAACATTATATATATGTATTCTCACCTTTACAGTTATTAGTAGTTCTTACCTTTACAGTCTGAATTCAATGAACATTTTTTTTACTTACTAATACATGTTTTGACACAGATTTTTCTTGTTTCAGGGACTAGTAATATTTGGTAGGGACGTCTCCAAGATACCGTGTTTCAGAGAAAGCTTTCTGTATGGCATTGCAACTGGAACAGGTGTTGGTCTAGCAGCATTCATTAAAACTTCTCGGCCTATGTTATCACAGCACATAGGAGTAGGGACATTTTCAATGACTACAATGATATACTGGTGTTACTGTAGGTACCAATGGTCTAAACAACGATTTGATGCTCAATTATTACAAGATGCATTGAAAGACAAAATTCTTTATGAAGGTACTATAGTTGAGAAAGAGCTTGAACAAAAAGGTGTTCTCAAATCAGCATGAGACTGTTATTAAGTAAACTATTTAAAAAAATCACAACACTGTTTCTGTTTACAAAAAAAAAATGTTTAACTTTATTAATTGTTCAATTTGCTTTAAACCCTAATAACCTGTTATATTAGTACAGTATAGAAGAGATTTTATTTTATTTTGAATTTACAAGTAAATTTTTATTCATACACATGAGCAAAATGTTTCAAGATGTTCTTAAAGTTGTGGCTAAATACTGTACATTATTTACATTTATCCTGTATCCTGTATAAACTAGATCAATAATTGTTATTGTTATTGTAAAAAATAAAGATTGTTATGCAAGTAGATCTAGGTCTAAATGTATTTAATCAATGTAATTAATCCAGAGTTTAAAACTTCAATCTAGACCGCAAATATATGTTTTTTTAAGTATAACAAGTGGTCTTTTGAATTAATAACATTTTGTAAGCAATATGTATTTTTAGTAGGTAACTTTGCACTTTGTTTGTAGCTGTATAAATCATGCTAATCAGTTGTGTTCAAGATAATATAAACTAAACATGCAGATAGTGTTTTGTATAAATTATGTACAAGTATTGAAATGTATAGATGTTAGTGTAGTTAATTAAAATTGTTATTTTACTAAATATCTTTTATTTACCATTCCTTATCTGTACGGGGTTCAGGTTTGTTCGACTAAAATCTACAAAATCATTATTCCTATAAGTTTCCTATGTGTATGACAGAAATGTTGTAAGTACATGCAGACAGTCTTGGCAACAGTTACATAGTGAAGCATAATTGGTTCTAACATAACATTTTGATGAATAAATAGGAAAAGAAAGAGTAATCAATTATTAGTCCATGGTTATGAGACAAGATTATTATATTATGTGCAGGAACATAATGAAATACTGGTGTGGGTAAGTTTGATGTATATGTTTCAATTTTGTGAAAAAGCATTGCAAAAAGAATAAAGATTTAATTGAGTCCCTGTGGGTGGGCCCACACATTTTGTAAAATACAAATAACGCATTAAAAAATATACATATTTATTGGTATTGCTCAATATAAAAAATAATTAAAGAGGTGACGGTAAACATGCTGATTATATTTTAATCAAAACCCATTAAATTATCTAAATATGTTTTGAATTGAAACATTGTTCTTTGCGTCGAAATCATTTCATAGAATAGAACCTCGTTAGTAAAACGAGCGCAAGATCGCGGCAGTGACACGAGTGCGGTGCGTACTATCGGACGCAGTTCTGTGTCGTAATAAATTGTTCTTCAGAATACCGGTTATTCTATTCAATGATTTGATTCAACAATGGAATCTGTAAACAGTTTGATACCTGATGATGCGCAAAAAACTTTAATATTCTTCGTAAATGGCAAAAAGGTAATTTTATTAATTTATAAGTACTTAGAATACCTAATAATAAATTAGTCAAACTAATTGCTTACCGGTAGGCATTGTATTTCCATGATGTTGCTACTTGTTTCCTTTCTAGTATAACAGGGTCAATGGATTTATATGACATTTTATTCATAATACCTATGTGTACCTACCGTATTAATAGAAAATATTTGTGGTTATTGGTAGGTATTACCTACTAAGATACGCATAAAATATTCTTCGTCGTCACTATGCGACCTCGTGGGGGTCATACTGTGCTAAAGTTGGCACTATGTGTGGCTAGTACCTACCTACAGTACACCTTACCGTACACCTACAGATTTTGCATTTTTACCTAAATGAGCTTGCAATCCGTGGTTCATTGACTTATCTGTCACGGACATTATTTTTTTACTTAGTGCTAATATACATTTTAATTTTCATCTAAGTAAAGTAGGTACCTACCTACTTTTAAAAACAATATGCAATAAAAAGTAATTAGGTGCATACCTATGTATAGAGAGAGAAAGAGAGAGAACTTGTTTAATATAAGGTGATTTTAAATTAACTGTCGCAGTTTGGTAATTTAATATTTGGTAGGTAGGTACTCCTTGCAGGAAATGAATCCGACGTAGGTACCTACCTACCGTCGTTGATCGTTTCAAGCTTTATATCAAATTCATAGAATAGGTAATATAGTATCGTTGATATTTCAATAAAAGTGTAGGTAGATATTTACTTAGTATATGACTAGTTGCAAACTACCAACTAACTGATATTATTTAATAAGAAGGTAGAAGGAGCGGGTAGGGGGGTGGGAGAACTGGCCAGTAAGAGCCTGACACTCTCTCGCCTCACCCTAGGCGAAGTCATTTGATGATTTTCCTCTTACAAAAACAGTATTATCAAGGTGTAGGTAAACAAAAGTAAGTAGTGTAACTATGTAGGTACTAGGTACCTATTTAAATACCTACTTTGTATCGCGAATCAAAACTAGCCTATTAATAAATTGAAACGGAAGCATTTGCAAAGTAAGCTGTAGATAAGCCGAGCTGTAGCTAGGTAGGTACCTACCTACAGGATTTGTATTTGCTTAGTACCAAATGTACCGATTTTTGTTAGGGCTACCTACTATGTATACCTACGTATATCTCTGCAGCAGACACGAAAAATGAGATACTTCCTTATAGCAAATAAGTAGATACCTAACTATTGATAACCCTGCTATTCGATAAGTTAAGATAATTCAGATGTTACCTATTTAATTAAAAATAAATATTTTTTAACAATTTAGAGGTCAACTAACCCCAACGAAAATCTGCGTTGTGATAACCCGAGTCATGTGAAATAGGTAGGTATACATAGATTCTCAAGTTTTTGAAACAGTCATGTTATTTGACAACCCTGAACTACTAGTATCTGCAGTCATAATATCAACTTTCAATTTGGATCGAATAGCAGTGCTACGTAACTAAGTACGTACCAGGCTACCAGCATCCCTTTTCTCTCGTATTAGATTGACATAAAATACCTATAATTTGAAATATAACATAAACTAGCTACTCCTGTACGGTTTCACTCGCTGCTCGGCTCCATTTGAATGTAGCGTGATGTTTTATAGCCTATAGCCCTCGGGAACATTGTAGCTATTATTAAGTGAAACAATTTTGGGAATCGGACCAGTACCTAGTTCTAAAGATTACTCCCTACATACAATAACCTCTTTATAATATTAGTACCTATAGATATGTCATGCCACGACTTTAATAGTTTTTTAAAAGATATGTTTGCTGAATTCATTTTCATTGATTCAAAAAAATTGTTGTTAGTACCTACCTACCTCACCTCAAGGCTCAAAAATTGTGCATGTTGTGTAGGTACACCTTAATAAGTTGTGCAATAGCCCATATGATTGTAAGTACGTTGTAAGACCCATACCTACCTATTTATTGTAACAACTACTGGTGTTTGAAATAAAATTAAAAACCTACTACCTAAATGTTGCATCCACTTTTCAGCTTTCTCCAGTGATATTATTAAAGGGTAGGGCTAAGTCCTATAAAATAAAGAATACGAAAATTTTCGAAAAAGAAAAAACCAATAGGTCCTTTGTCGAACCTGAGACCGTTGATGGTGGACTTTATAACCTAGGTTTTACAGAATACTTAGGTAAGGTTATCACTTAACCTCACTTTCTGTAAAACCTAGGTTATAGGTACATTAAACCTGATCTGTTATTTCAATGATGTTGCAGGTCATTGAGGAAAACCCAGATCCAGAATGGACGTTACTCTTTTACCTTCGCAAGAAGCTTTTGCTTACTGGAACCAAATATGGATGTGGAGAGGGTGGATGCGGTGCCTGTACAGTCATGATCTCACAATATTCGAAAATCAAAGATAGCATCAAGTATCCTTTATACATGTGACAGCTAATTTCGACAAGTTTCGTATAGCCCGGCTAGCTCAGTCGGTAGAGCATGAGACTCTTAATCTCAGGGTCGTGGGTTCGAGCCCCACGTTGGGCGCATCTTTTTGCTGCAGTATATTTATTGCCATTAGGTTTAATAATCTAATTTTAATTAGGTCATAACAATTTTTATTTTAATTAGAATATTCTTAATAATTTATTCTTTTTTTTTAAATACAAAAATAACTTTATTTCTTTTTATTTATCAATGTCGACTACACTGTTTAGTTTGAACAATATACAAAAAATATATACTTATGTTGGGAAATTATACAATAATACACTTAACTATTTTTTCTTTATAAAATAGGCACATTGCGGTAAATGCGTGCTTGACGCCAGTTTGTGCTATGCATGGTTTAGCAGTGACCACCGTTGAAGGTATAGGTTCCACACAAGAACGGCTACACCCCGTGCAAGAAAGACTAGCGAAGGCTCATGGGTCACAATGTGGATTCTGTACACCGGGCATCGTAATGTCAATGTATGCCCTTTTACGAAATAAAACCAAAATTGAATATAAAGACATAGAAACCGCATTGCAAGGAAACCTTTGCAGATGTACTGGATACAGACCTATAATTGAAGGCTTTAAAACATTCATAGAAGGCTGGGAAAAAAATTATATTACCGATGCAGAAAACGGTAAATGCGGCATGGGTGCAGATTGTTGCCGAAATAAGAAAGCTAATGATGAAAACAATGAGTTATTTAACAAGTCGTCTTTTAAACCGTATGATCCAACACAGGAGCCAATTTTTCCGCCAGAGCTAAAGTTAAATAAAAGTTATTCGGAAGAATTCTTATTCTTCACTGGAGAAAACGTTACATGGATACGACCGAAAACTCTTCACGACTTGTCGAAGATAAAAGCTAATTATCCGTTTTCTAAAATAATTGTGGGTAATAGTGAAATAGGCGTCGAAGTCAAGTTTAAGAAAAAAGTGTATCCAGTATTGCTATATCCATCAATAATAACAGAAATGAACTTTTGTAAAGTAACAACTGACGGAATACTGATAGGGGCTACCGTTACATTGAATGAATTATCGCACTTCCTTCAAGAACAAGTCACAGCTAATCCTACAAAATCAAAAATATTTAGAGCCATTAATGATATGTTACATTGGTTTGCTGGTGATCAAATCCGGAATGTAGCGTCAATCGTAGGAAATATTGTAACAGCTAGTCCGATATCGGATTTAAACCCAATTTTAATGGCATGTGGAGCTAAATTGAATGTTCATAGTAAAAGCAGGGGGACAAGAAAATTAATTATTGATGAAGACTTCTTTAAAGGATATCGAAAAACAGCCCTTGGCGACGATGAAACCGTTGTGTCTGTCGAAATTCCGTTCACCGTTGAACCACAATACTTCAAAGCGTATAAACAAGCTCGACGAAAAGATGACGATATATCTATTGTAACTGCCGCCTTTAATGTAAAAGTAGAACAACTAACTGGATTTATTTCAGAAGCAACTTTATGCTTTGGCGGCATGGGGCCAACTACCATTTGCGCTAAAGCAACTTCTGAAAACATGATCGGACAGCGATGGGATCAAACAATGCTACAGGCTGCATTTGAATCCTTAACTAATGAATTGGTATTGGATGTCTCGGTTCCAGGAGGAATGGCTGATTACCGTAAATCACTTTGTCTAAGTTTCTTTTTTAGATTTTATTTACATGTTTTACAAAGTGAAGGGAAATATGGAGTAAAATCCGTAAGCAGCGAAGACTTTAGCGGTGTCGATGAAATATTAATATTAGAGCCACATAGCACACAGTGCTTTGAAGTAACAAATAAAAACAAAATTACATCAGACGCTGTCGGGAGGCCAATAACACATACTTCAGCTCTGAAACAAGCCACTGGAGAGGCTTTATATTGTGATGATATTCCCCCCATAGCGGGCGAATTGTATTTAAAGCTGTTATTCAGTAGAGAAGCACATGCCAAAATTAAATCTATAGACGCAAGTAAGGCTTTATTAATACCAGGTGTAAAAGCATTCTTATCAGCTGAAGATATAGCTGAAGATTGTAACAAAGTGGGCCCTATAATAAAGGACGAAGAAATATTTTCACGAGATACAGTTACTAGTCGTGCTTGTGTGTTAGGTGCAATTGTAGCTACTTCTGATAGCATAGCCAGGAAAGGAGTAGATTCTATTGTTGTGGAATATGAGAGTTTAGAACCTGTTATTGTTACGTTAGAAGATGCAATATCACAAAGTTCATATTTCACTGGATATCCGCGTGTTCTTCGCAAAGGCGATGCTAATGAAGCAGTTTCAAAAGCAAGCAATGTGATAGAAGGATATGTAAGAAATGGGGCACAAGAACATTTTTATCTTGAAACTATATCTGCTTACGCTGTTAGGAAAGAAGATGAGCTTGAAATTGTAGCTACGTCACAAAATCCGGAAGAAATAGCAGTGAGTCATATTATTTTACGAAATAAATAGAAGTAAACCTATGAAATAAGTAGTAAACTTTTATTTAATTAATATTATTATTTTTTGTTTTAGCACGTTGCTTCTGCGGCCCTTCAAATACCCAACCACAAAGTTGTCGCTAAAGTTAAGAGAGTTGGAGGGGGTTTCGGGGGTAAAGAAACAAAAGCAAATTTCTTGGCTATTCCCGTAGCGATAGCTGCATACAAACTTAAGAAACCCGTTAGAGCTGTATTGGACAGAGATGAAGACATGCAGGTTTCCGGTTACAGACACCCTTGTTTGATCAAATATAAAGTGGCATTTGCAGCAGACGGAAAAATTACTGGAGCAAAATTTGAAATTTATGTCAATGCAGGTTACTCCCTAGATATCTCTTGTGCGGTAAGAACTTTCTATTACGTATCTTTAACATAAAGTGGAATGTAATTTCTAAAAGCTACTGTTAAACTGATTTCAGATGATAGAAAGAACAATGATGCATGTCGACAATTGTTATTTTATACCAAACGTCGAAATATTTGGATATCTTTGCAAAACCAACATGCCCTCGAACACTGCATTCAGAGGTTTCGGGGCTCCAAAGGGAATGTTGGTTGCAGAAACAATTATGCGACATATTGCTACCACATTAGGGAAAAGCTATGAGCAGATTATCGAAACAAACCTTTATCAAGAAGGTTCATTGACGCATTATAATCAGACGTTAACATATTGTACACTATCAAGATGCTGGAATGAGTGTATAGAAAATTCTAATTATTGGGAGAGAAAGAAAGATATTGAGGAATTTAATAGGTAAATAATATTACTTAAGTACATAATTAAAGACAACATAATTAATTGTTTCATTCTCAACATAAAATTGGAGTTAGTCTGGAATAATACAACTTGTAATTAGTGAATAGGTTACAAACGTTCAGCTTACCCACAGGATAATGTACCTAACTGTAACTAAACCATATTATTATATTTTTCAGGCAAAACAGATGGAAAAAGAAGGGCATAAGCTTAGTTCCAACGAAATATGGAATTTCGTTCCAAGTCGATGTTCTAATGCAAGCAGGAGCACTTCTGCATGTGTATAAAGATGGGTCAGTTCTGCTCTCTATCGGCGGTATAGAAATGGGCCAAGGATTATTTACTAAAATGATACAAGTCGCATCAAGGGCTCTAGAAATAGATTACACAAAAATCCATATAAGTGACATGTCTACAGACAAAGTTCCTAATAGTTCGCCGACTGCAGGTAGCATAAGTTCTGATTTATACGGAATGGCTGTTGTTGAAGCGTGTAAAGTATTGAAAGATCGATTGGAGCCATTTAAAGCTAAAAATCCTGCGGGAAAATGGGAAGACTGGATTATAGAAGCTTACGTTAATAGAGTACAATTATCCGCCACAGGATTTTATGCAGCTCCAAAAATTGAGTATAATGCTGATACCAATTCTGGAAATCTTTTCGAATATTTTACGTTCGGTGTTGCTTGCTCTGAGGTTATCATAGATTGCTTGACTGGAGATCATCAGGTTCTACAAACGGATATAGTGATGGATGTCGGGGAAAGTTTGAATCCTGCAATAGACATAGGACAAATAGAAGGGGCTTTTATGCAGGGTTACGGTTTCTATACTTTGGAAGAAATGGTATTTTCACCAAATGGAGAAGTACTATCTCGTGGGCCTGGAGCTTATAAGATACCTGGATTTTCCGATATACCGAAAGTTTTTAACGTATCCTTATTGAAGGGTGCCCCAAATCCACGAGCAGTTTATTCATCAAAGGTACCTACATTATAATTTATATAATTATATATTGTAAGCACAGAAAACAAAAAACGGGTTCTCTAAAATTATGGTAATAAGTTATTCGAGGACTGCGATTAAGTAAAATTATTTTACATTTACAGGCTGTAGGAGAACCGCCTCTGTTTCTCGCTGCATCAGTATTTTTCGCAATAAAAGAAGCAATCAAGTCAGCCCGTTTAGACAGCGGAGTATCTCCGGAATTCGAACTGGATACACCGGCAACATGCGGACGTATCAGGATGGCTTGTGAAGATCTGATTACCAAAAAGGTATCTACAACACAAATAAATAAGAGCTCTCTTTTTATAAAACAAAGGAAATTGTTTGCATGTAATTGTTTCCCATCAACTTAAGATTTGCAATATTGGACAAAAGTACGGCGTCAATCAGAAGATCAGAAAAAAAGTAAATCATCTAGCACACCTATACACATATATAATAAAGCTGAAGAGTTTTATTGTTTGAACGCGCTAATCTCCGAAACAACTAATTATTGGTTGTTTACTAACTAATTATTAAAGTTGTTTCGGAGATTAGCGCGTTCAAACAATAAAACTCTTCAGTTCGAATTGAACAATTCGTTTTGTGTTCGGAAGGCTATAGGCTATAAAACATCAGGCTACGATCCGTAGAAGAAGAGCAGCGAGCGAAACCGCAATATAGTAACTACGAAGTATTGTATAAAGGCAACATTTTTTCCGAACTAAAAACTAATTTCCTATTTCTTTGAGGAAGTAGGCTTTGGCAACTTGAAAACGAGATTGATACTGACCTAGAAAACTGCAAAGTTGATGCCCTTCACCTTCAGAAAGTCTTGTTAATATTAAACTGGTAACCTTTTCTGTTACAGGTAACACCAACGATTAAAGGCAACGGGAAGCCATGGAATATTGTAGCTTGATAAATAAATAAATAATAAGCAAAATTGTTTTGCAAATTAGTACCTAATTGGTATCACATTGAAGTACCTACATGAACGGTAACTTGAGACTTCATGATGAATGATTTATTTATCAGTAAGCATTTTTTAAATATGTTAACAATGTTAAAACAAGTTGTTAGTTTATTTTTTACGTATGGTGTAAATTACCATTTTATTATCGCCTTATCTGTTGTATACATAGACAACTTTTATCTCTAGTAGGTAAACATTTGTATGTATAAGTTATTCTTTTGTAAGTGAAATACATAGCATGTTAAAAGTAGGTATTTGTCTTTTATTTTATATAAGTACCTTTGTTTGAGATTAGAGAAGTTACGCTAAAATATTTTGTTCATCCTCAGAGATTGAAAATGGATAAAGTAATGAAACTGTGTCTTGAAAGAAGTTGTTTATAAATAAAAACTTATTTCTATTATATTAAGTCAATCATATACATATAGGAGTACACACTATACACACATATACATAGACATGAACACAGCCTTAAGCACTCTGTTATAGTCCTTATAATGGACTTCAGGCCAAGACTTGGTTCAGAAGACAAAATATATCAAGAACCTATCTATTTTTGTTCTTATACGTATGATTTAAATAATTAATTATATATTTAAACCATAATTGAATAACACTTTTTGTTTGAAGTCTGTTTAAACAGCTTGATAGTTTCCAAAACTTATTGTTGGATAGTTATAATTAATCAAGCACTGTCTCTGCCGACGACCGGTGACTGTGGAGGTTACGATAACTGATGGCCATTGACCGTTTGACACTGAGTCAATTGAAGGAAGTGGCTTATAAGTTGATCAATGGGCTGGTAGCCGATACTTATTAGTTAATTGTGAAACTATGTAGTGTAGGGTTTGCAATTTATTGTGTCCAATTACCCACTCATTGTGCAGAGGAAAATTCTAGTATTATTTGTCACGCGCAGAATGTGTGCATTATAATGCATTTGTCAATTGTTAGTTGCGTAGTTTCCCTCAATCATATGTCCGTGCCTAATTTTTCACTCATTCTATTAGGTACATGCTTCTTGTCTTAAACGCATTTTAATTAAAATTTTGTTTTTACGCCACACAGACTTTTGTCAGGCATATGTTTGATTTATGACGGTATATATTAAGTCACATGATCATAGAATATTGTTGTGTAAGAAGTTGCATCTACAATATATTTTATACTTATCTATCACAGTTGTGTGGAATAATTTACACCGACATTATAGGTACACAAAAAGGCGAAAAATCTAAAAAACACCGCCTAGTTTGATACACAATGATTTAATATTTTTTACAACACCTTATTTTATTGGTTTTTATCGATATACTAAAACGAGTTTTTAATGACCTCGCTGTATCAAGTTCAGTCTAATGATTAGTAACAGTCGAAGATTTCACAAGTTGATCTTTTTTAAACTTGTAGAATACGTAACTATTGAGGAGATAACAACTTGTTTATTACTGGTTGTCTGTCCATGTGGATGTGTTGTGCGGCGCGGGCGCACGGATAACAAGGCAAGACGACGCAACCCGCGATCATATCATTTGTCAGTTGTGTTTCATACCGTCACATTGTAAGACGTGCCCGTCATTTCTAAATAACATCCGCATTTGTTTGGAAAAACAATACAGTTTTTGAGCCAATATGGGTTTGTTGAATTTAGAAGAAGAAAACGGTGACATTTGTACGGAGTTAGTTTTCTTTGTGAATGGGAAAAAGGTGAGTAGTTTTATGTTCCGGTACTTATATGAAAATAACATCTAAATTAGTGGTACATTTTGTTGAGAAGTTCAATTAGAGTAGGCATAGGAAACGATGGATTGGAATGAGATCTATTACAAAGTTTTAAAAGTATAAAAGAAGGTACCCTCTCAATTTTATATATCTCAAAGTGAAAAGAAACACTAACCACGTTGGGTTTAATCACTAAAGATAAGATATTAATGGTAAACAGATATAAAATATAATAATATGTACTTTCACAACATGAATGATATTTTTAAGCAAGTATTTTAACAACTACATTAATCTTTCGATGATAGAGGGCCGGCACAGACAATATTCGACGACTGATCAAGTTGTTTATAAAATTAATATAAGTCATAAATATAATGGGTTTTGGAGTATTTGTAGAGATACTACAAATACTTGCTAGTTTCATTTAACTGGCTGGGAGACAGTAGAAGAACAAATAACACAATAAAACCATGCTATACAAATTCTAGTAGGTAGGTAGTTAATAGAAACTTGAGATGGAAATAAATTCAAATAGGTAGGTGCGCATCAAAATAAACATTTTAGCGTAATATTAAAATCATGTTTGGCATTTAATGTGACATTCCACGTAACTCACAATCTCGAAATAGGCATAAGAAATGTATATTATAACAAAAATTAAATCTCTAGTGGTCTGTTGGTTTGATTGTAGGTATGTATTCTCTATCAATTTTAAAGTAGGAACTCTCTCAGAATCTCATCCTTGCATCTTTGTGAAACTTTAAGGTGGATGAAACAAGCTACCAAAGCAAATATATAACGCTAATAGATGTATTTTTAACGGTAGTAAGTACTTCTAAACTAAGTAATCTAATAAAGAGGAAAGATTTGATTGATTGTTTGTTTAAGCTCTGCTCTGAAACTAGTAGACCGATTTGAAAAATATTTCTTTGCTGGGAAGCTATACTATCTACAGTAAACATAGGCTATAAACAATGGGGGTAGAACCGCGGGGCGCAGCTAGTCGGATATAAAACTCTTACGCAGTTACAAACAAACGAAAACATCGAATACGCCTGATATTGCATCATATAACTGTTTTTGCTAAGAATATTGTTCGGAGATGTTTCGTCTCCAGAACGGCCCTGATAGTACTGACCTATAACGCCCTCCTGTTTAATCATAATAATAACGTTGACCCGTATTCAGTTATTTATATAAAGTATGTATATTGCTTGCTCGTTACTAGTCATTTATCTTTTAAATGTGATACGACTAGCGAATATGTTATAGAAGTTTTAATGTAGCTCTCTCTGTGTTTCTAGTTTTGATAATTTACCTATGGTTGATTAGCCCTTGGTATTTGAGTCCGAACGTAGATTTTAGCGAGACAATGTATTTTCTATTGTGTCCCATATACTTCCAAGTTTGTTGTAATATAAATCTTGGCACATTAGATACAATCTCACGAACCAATGGTCTGCGAACATCACGGCCGTAGCTCTCGACTTCAGGCTACTGGAGCATGAATTGATAATAATTTTAATCAATTTATTACATACCTAATGCCCGAACCGTTAAGAATAATAATCACGTTTAGAATATTATCAATTTACAACAATATAAACGACTATTGGAAGGTTGTTTGTGATTTAACTACGTAACTACTTTACTTTTGTATATGCGAACATTTAAATCACTGACATCTAATTAGGTACTATAATTATAGACCATAGGTATTTTTTAAATTATATATATTATATAATTATATAAAGTATTTAAATAGGTACCAAAATATAGAACTAACATTATACCCATTTAAAGGGACGAAAAAATGATATACTCAATATATTACCTAATTACGGACGATCTTAGAAAAGGTATTTAGTCCCAAAGGACTAAATACATTTTATTATTTATTATTTAGGAGATCATTTTATTATTTACCAACAACTTTAAACTTTTTTTAAAGCACAGCAGTTTTTTGAAAATTATGATACCTAAGTACTAAATCGTCCTCCTCACCAGTTCTTGAAGTTATCTGCACTGCACCGTTAATTGTGTAATTTTATTTATTATTTTGACTATTCAGTGCAATGGATGTTTAAAACATATAATCATATTTTCATTCATGGATTCTTTTGAAATGAGTATGATATTAAAACATTATTAAAAGTCATATGTAAAAACTATATTTTTTTATGTAATCACAACATAAAAAATATAGTTTTTGACATAAATATTAGAAACTACCGGATTACTGATACCGTGCCTACCATACTCAATGGCATTTATACATTATAAACACACCTAATAAACATTCGAAAATAAAATATATATGTATAGTAAGTAAAATATTTCTAGTAGATACTCCCGCTGTGTACTGATAATTTCGTTTTGTTACTGTTGTAAGTCATAAGGACATGTTTTAGTGTTTATAAAATTTCACTGATTAGATAATACTTATTTTATATTGGGTGGCCATTAAGTTACTTCATATTAAATATCGAGTTACAGAAAATAGATAGATACTTATACCTACTTATGTATTGTGCTTAGTAAGTTGTGGGATATTAATGGCGCGTTTGCGCAGGATTCGAGCTAATAATAAATATGATGCCAATGACCCTGCACTTACCACGTGTAGCAATATAATTAGGTATCTAAGTGTGTAAGTATGTATACTTAGTGTTTTTATTCTATCTCAATGAAACACGGAAATATCAACCAGCTGTATCTATAAGTGGACACAACTAGATTATAATTATAAAATGTAGGTAGGTACAGCTTAGCGATTAAGTACCTACTTGTGGTACCTTTGTAGTAAAATTATATGGTTTTTAAACATTTTGAGAGAAGCTACCTATTTCAAAGTTAAGTTGCTGAAAGATAATATCCTCGTAAGGCTCAAAACAAATTGAGGTTGATAAGTATTGTAGGTGTATCTAATAAAAATAGGTGCAAGTAGTTAGGTTGGTCGCTGGACAATAATTTAATGATTTTAAAAGTGTCTTGGGCCGGTGTTTCAACATTATTTTTGCCGTTAGATTAAGTCGTTGGGCCTTACGAGGATATTTAAAGAGATTTCGCCTGGTCGATGCCTCATGACCAGCGATCTAGTTTGTTTTTTGCAGAGTATAGGTAAGTATTGCCATAGGTACAGCGTGGCAATGCTGCCAGCCTTCGGGGCAATTTCCGCATTGAGATCGATGCTGATGCATTTAGGATATTTATGATGATTTCTATTTAAAAAATAGTTAAGTGTATTAATTCTGAAGCTTTAGAATTGACTTGTTGAATTAATTGGGATAAGTGGGGTTTAAAGATTTTTACTTGTTGTCAAATGATTTAAATTCTTTTCTCTCAGCCATGGGCCCTTTTTGACCTTGCTACGTTTTTAAAACTAGTCTCAAAGGGTCCGAAGTATGTACATATAATTTTTTATTTTACCTTTGAATGTTCCAGGTGGTTGAACCCAATCCTGATCCAGAATGGACTCTCCTCTGGTATCTTCGTAAGAAGCTTCGTCTG